CCGCTGCCGCGCCGGGCTCCGCGGGCGAGGAGCGGAAGCTGCAGCTCTGAGCCGAACTCCAGCGAGACCGAGCTCCGGCGGGCCCCGCGCACACGGCGAGGCGCGGCGGGGGCGCCCGGCAGACCCTGCAGCCTCGAGCGAGCGGGCGCCCGGGGCAGGCATCCCTACGGGGAGGGGCGGCGGTAGCCGCCGCGGTAGCGACCGCGCTCGGGCGCCCCTTGCGCCGCGCCTCATGCCGGTGTGGTGCTGCCGCTGCTCCCTGGCCGGGCATTTCAGGTGACTCCTGCGCGGGGACGGGGCGCGGCGAGGGTGTTCGAGTTCCGAGCCGGGCCGGGTGGGGGCCGAGCCCCGGCCGCAGGTATCCCCGCTCCCGCCGCCCTGTGGGTGGGGTCCTCCTCGGGGATCCCCGCTCCGCGGTCCCCGTCCCCGCTCTGGGCCGCGCCGGTCACGGGACTGTGAGACCGCTAGGCCGGGTAGTGGGTCCCGGCAAGCCCAAACCTCCAAGTAGTACCAAGTTTTAGGGTTGGGCTCTACGAAGGGCCTCCTTTACATTTTTATTACTTAAAAAAAGAAAATCTAAGTTACTGGGTTGAAGGAAGGTAGGGAAGTACGTCTTGGTGTCACGATCTCGTTACAAATAGGTCCTGACTAGTTTTAAGTTTGCCAATCAGTGTAAGCCATGTTACGGTGTAGAAATAGGAAAGATGGCAATTTTACATTCAAATGATAGGGAAAGTTTTTAGGGGTGATAAAGTTAATGTAGTTCTAAAATAAAAGTGAAGGTGTTTTCTAGATCGAGGAGTATTGTGCTGTACTTCAATGAAAAGGAAAAAGAGGAGAGATACCAGAAACTTTTTTAATCCTGGGGTAAAGAAATGTTGAGTTTAATACTGTGTAGACTTAAATCCTTGCTTTCCATGTATGAATGTTCCAAAATAATGGCGTGTAACACTTACCTTTTTTTGGTAAAACTGGCGACTCTCCTCAAGAGTTCTTTAATGAACTGGATAGAATGGAGGCAGTTAATTGATAAAATGCAGAATAGAAAGAAAGATTATTTTCACTAAATTCCAGAAACTAACATTTTCATCAGTTATGAATACAAGCAACAAATGAAAGTATTTGTGGCTGTCATCAATAGAAATCATATTTTCTATCACTGTAGTTGCAGGTATCCAGAAATGCTATTTGTTAATAGTTTCTTTAAAATTACAGTATTACACTTCACTGAACTTGCAGTGCAGTAGAGAAGCCTATATGCACGTATGTCTAGAGGGTTTTTAAAATAAGTATATTTTAGTGGTTTCCTTTTAAGTTCCATATATGTTTAATAACACTATTCAGAGAAGAGGTCCACAGGCTTTACCAAAGAGATGTAAGGCACAGAAAACGTTCAGGACTCCTGTTGTAATAGCAACAAACTAGGCTTCCCAGTGAGTTTTTTTATGAGTCGCTAAATTCTGAATGTTACAGAAGGCCATGTTGAACAGGATGAGGTGGTGCATGCTTGTAATTCCAGCAGTTGGGGAGTCGAGGCAGGAGGATCACAAGTTCAAGTCCCGCCTGAACAAAAGTGAGACCTTTTCTCAAGAAAAGGGGGGGTGTGTGGCCCAGGAGTAGTCAGGCCTAGAGCACCCTTGGGTTCCACCACAAGTAACCAAGAAAGAAAAAGGTCTTATGTAATAGACTGCTGAGTTATAGCTTCTGACAAATTGTTAACTGCGGTTTGAGAGTATTAGATTCGCTGAAGAGTTTTAGAAATCCGGTTCCTCTTGTAAAAATGTGTTAAGTTAAGCTTCTGAGAAATTAACAACCCTTATAGAAAATACTGTCCAAAAGCCTTTTGATACCTTCGGTATACAGTTGAACACTAAGGGGCCAGTTTGGGACTCATTCTTTCCACTAATCCTGGGTGGTAAATAGTCTGCATATCTCTGCACAAAAATTTGGAGTTGGGGGTGGAAACAAAAGTACTTCCCGTATTTTGGTTTTGAGAGAAAGGAAAACAAGCCTGCTACATTATCACTGTAAAAATAGTTTTGTTGTGTCTAAATTTTTTTTGTTTGCCAGCTCCTTTAGGAATGTATTTCTAATTTAGTAATGCAGTTCTTTGTGCAGTTCTATTAGAAACACATAGTTTAAAACAGATTATGACAACTTCTACATTTTAGGATTTGTGTAATATCTGAATTGATAAGAATTATGCAAGAGCTGTCCACCAACTTTCCAAGAGAGCAAACCTCATACTTCTATTCTGAAAGATGAAAGTGTGACTGACTTTGTTTATGACCTTAGCACCTTCTTGTGGCATTATCAGTTTAGTGAAATTTAAAATCCTGCTTCCAGAGATTATAAAATATAATTAAGGTAATAAAGCATTTTGTTTTAGTTCGACTGACCATTTAAAGAAGTATTGCTATGATATGGAAAAAGTCTTTTTGTTCTCCAGATATGAAGTCTGCACCATTTTTAAAAATGTGTTTTGAAAACTGAGGGTGTAGTGTTTCAAAAGAGAAAAAAAGGAAGGCTTCTAAAGTCATCTCAGATGTCTGCTACCTTGATTGAAGCCTGACATTATCATAACTATTTTCTGCATGTGTGTGGTGCGGTTCTTTACTGTTTCCTAAATTAGACATATTTTCCAATTTAATTTCCAAAGAAAGGAAAAGTTGATTTCTGTTACTCAAAATAAGTTCCTGTCTTAAATAGAATGTTCAGAATACGAATCTGAGTGTGAGTTAACACTGTAGTCTGATACTCTAAAACATACAGCAATGCTAAATACAGACCTTAACCTTTGAATTTTTTACAAAGTTACTGGTAGGCCTTGTTTTACTATTGCTTTATGTAAAACCAGTTAACATAGTTTTGGTTTTTTTTGTTCTGTTGATTCAGGGTTTTTCATATTTCTGTAAAACCACTATTAAATTACCATACAGTGTATAAGTTTATTACAAATAGTTTGCCACACAAACAGATTGCACTAGTGACCACGGTACCAAAAAATTAAAACAGATTACTTATACTATATAAATTTAGGTAAGCCAGTTTGTAGTGATTTTTAAATATGTTAAAACTTGGCTCTTCTAACACTGTTTGACTCTTGGGACATACTAGAGTCACATTTCTTGAGGTCTACACACAAAAAACCTCCTAAACAATAAATGAATTCAGTAGTATTGCAGGATCCAAGATCATTGTACAGAAGTAAATTGTATTTCTAGATACTAACAATGAACAATCTGAAAATAAAATTAACAAAATAATTCCATTTATGGTAGTATCCCGGTACCAAAAAAAAAAAACAAAACAATAATAATGTCATGCTTAGAAATAAATTTAATAAATGCAAGACTATGTATCTTGAAAAACTAGGAAATGTTGCAAAAAATTAAAGAAGGCCTAAATAACCTGGGCATAGTGGTACACACCTGTAATCCCAGCACAGTGGAGGCTGAGACAGGAGAATGTTTTTTTGGGGGGGGGCGATATGAATGTTGAGACAGGGTCTCGCTGTAGTTCAGGCTGGCCTCAGACTCACTATATAGCTTAGGCTGGCCTCTAACTCCCAGTGATCCTCCTGCTTCAGTCTCCCAAGTGCTGGGATTAAGGGAGGATCTTGAGTTTGAGACCAGCTGGCTAGCAGGGAGAGCCTACCTCAAAAAAAAAAAAAAAGTTAAAAAGGCCTAAATATAATCATGTACTGCATAATGTTTTAGTGACAAACTGAAGTGGGATAGTGGTCCCATAAGATTAATTGCCTAGTGACATTATAGCTGTCTTAGTTTGCATAAAATATACTTTGTGACATTAGTGCAGTGCTGGAATGGTTTGGCGCATTTCTTAGAAAATCTGTCATTACTCATAACATGACCATGAATGGAAAGGAATCTTCTGGTATAGGAATACTCTGTATCTTAAGGAACTCGTCCTACATCCTAAGGTAGATTGGGATGTCCGAAGGTTACAGGAAAGCAGAAATTTCTGTCTCTGCCAAATTCCATTTGTCAGCCTCTGGGATTAGTGAGTTGACTCCTCTCATGTTTATCAGTTGGAGAAGAGTAATAGATACATTTACTAGTAGTTACTAAGTGTCATTCTTCCAGACGTTCTGGCTGGTGCTGACTATATGAAGATGAAAAATAATTCACTTACTCTATTCTGAAGTAATCTATAAAAATAACAGCATTAACCATGTTCAGGGATATTCTGTTTATTCCACGAATGTGTTAAAATGTTAAAACTAGTTTGTAGAGAGGCAGTTGGGAAATAAAGATTGGAAATCAACCTGAAGAGCTTATGTTAAAATGTTGACCATAAAAATATATAAACCTCATTTCTTTTACCAAAATGCCCAATTTGTAATAAGTACAGTAAATTTTCCTTGAAATATACAAGACTTTTCTTTAATACAGTCAACTTTTAATAAGGAAAAAGTAAAGAAAAAACTTGCCTTTCTAAGAGATCTCAGAATTATAAAATCTCTCCAGTATAATGCTGTCTTTTGACCATTAAAGAGAACTTTATACTAGTAGGAACTTGCCTACAAGATAGCAATGAGAGATAAACACTTACTGAGGATTTATGGCCATTAAAGTGATGTAATTGACATACACCGCACCAGTAATTTGAAGGCAGTATGAAACTATTGAGTATTTTATAGCCTAGATAAAATGAATAAAGATTGATTTTTCTAAAGACTATTGACTCTCTCTCTTTCTTTAAAGAAATTACAGTGACACCGAAACTGAAGGAGAGATTTTTAGTTCCTTAGTGCAATATTTTGATGATAATTTGGTGCGAAAAGTTAAAGCGATGCCATTAGTTGAAGAAACTTCTTTACTTGAAGATTCATCAGTGACTTTGCCTGTGGTGATAATAGGTAAGTTATTGCTTTTTGTTTCTGAAAATTAGTTACTGCCCTTAATGCTTTTATAAATCTACAGTTAGGTAATCAAAGTTCTTAGGATTGTATTGAAAACTACTCTTTAAAATAGCTCATAAAGAGGATTTTGAATGTTGCCAAGACAAAGAAGTGATATACGAGGTCGTCTCAGATGATAGATAAGCCATGTAGGATGCTGTATTCAGTATACATTGTATACATGTGTTGAATTGTCACACTGTACCCCATGTGTCAATTAAAAAACAATTTTTAAGGTTAAAAATAATGTATAAAGAAGAAGCTTCCATGGATGAGGAAGGATAATAAAGAAATTAGTTATAATTTTAAAAGAAAAATATTAAATTATTAGTTAAAATAACTAATAACCAAATCTTTGGAGACAGTAATTAGATTATTTGATGTTAGCATCTGTGTTAGAATGTAATATCTATTACTGAAGAACTGATAATATCCATTGTATTAACTGTAAGACAGTGCCATGATAATACTGGAGCTCTGTATAGAACATTTATGTATATTATTGAATGACTTGTGCCACTAGTAACTAATGTTCAACTGGCAACAATATTGTAGTACTCTGCAGTCATGCTTGTAATTACCTTAATCATAAAATTACTATTACATATCCTTTGTACCACCTCAACATATAGGCATATAAAATAGTGAATTTGGGGGGTGCAGTAATGGGGGTTGAATCCAGAGCTTTTGTATTGAGCTAAATACCTACCCCTTATAAAAATTTTTTTTATTTTGAGACAAGATCTCACAAAGTTGCCCAGGCTAGGCTCAAATTCGTGTTCCTCCTACCTCAGTCTCCCAGCGTGCTAGGAACCATGCCTGGCTACATAAAATATTAATAAAATTTATTGCAGAAGTACGAAACTTTCTGTAATTTTATGCATTTAATTACCTGTCATGTATATTTTCCATATAATATTCAAACTCAAGGAAGTCAGATAAGTACTATAATATGAGGCCAAGCCAAAAGAAACATGAATGCCTTAGTAGTGTACAACTTACTGAGGCTCTTTCATAGCTTGTTTCAAAGTTAGTAGGAAGGAGGGCTGGTTATTTAGCTCAGTGGTTTCGCCACCTGCTGCGCAAGTGCAAGGACCCGAGTTCGATCTCTTGTACCAAAAAAAAAGTTAGTAGGAAGGAAATTAAAGTTAAGCCCTCTGACTAGCATGTGACCAGGAAGGAGGGGAGAGTGAGGAGATCAAGACTTCTCTTACTAGATTCCCCTCTAGGGAATGAGAGATGATTTTTTTTTTTTTTTTGGTACTGGAGATCAAACTCAGGACCTTGCACTTGCAAGGCAGGCAGTGGAACCACTGAGCTAAATCCCTGGCCCCTAATTTTTATAGTAGTTTTCGTCCAAGTTACATCTCAGGAACCAAATGTCATGTTTCATTTCCGCCTTGATGTCCAACCCTGGCTATCCTTCCACGCTGTCTAGGAATGAGTAAAGGAACCCTATCTTCTTTCAGAAAAGAAAAGCTACCTTCATCTACACCTGTCCATCCCACTCCTGTCAAAAGTCCACCCCTATTTTGCCTTATCTCGCCCATTAGGAGATTAACCTGAAGTATAGAGGACCATTATTGTGGCAGATGTCCCACCAGCCTGAGCAAAAAAACTAATTTTCTTATATATGTATTTTTTTGTTGCTGTTATAACACATTACCATAGATGTAGTGGCTTTAAACAACATAAATGTGTTATCTTATTGTTCAGTAGTCAGAAGTTCAATATTGGTTTTACTGTGCTAAAATCAAGGTATCAGAGCTAAGTTTTTGAAGGCTCTGGGGAAGAATTTATTTCCTTGCCTTTTCTGCTTAGTAGAGACTAGTCACATTCCTTGCTCCAGGCTTCCTTCTGCATCTTCAAATCCAGTAACTTTTCTTAAACTTTTTCAATCATCCCTCCCTCTCAGCACAGCAAGAAAGGGTTTCTGTTGGTCTCTGTTTTAAGGATCTTGTGATTACAACAGGCCTTCCTGGATAATCGAGGCTACTCTCCATCTCAGGTCCTTATATCTACAGAATCTTTTTGCTCTCTGAGGTAACATTCTCAAGATCTGGGGTTAGGACCGTGGAAGAGGGAGCATTCTGCCTACCACAAACCTATTTCTCTGTAAACTGCCTGTTTGTATTTTTTACCTATTGTCTTTTAAGTACTGTATCTTTTTATTTCAAGGAATTCAGCTCTTTGCCTCAGATCCTAAATCCCTCTTTTGGTTATTTGCTTGTTTAATTATTTAATTAATATACATAAAAAATAGTTTATAGGAAGATGAAGTACAAAGTTCTCATATACTGTACTTCTCCCTGCCTCACTTTCCTGTTATTAAAATTGGTGTCTTTCATTGGTGTGGTATGTTTGCTCTAGTTGATGAATCAATATTAGTATATTATTATTAACTAAAATCTGCAGTTACATTCGAATTCACTGTCTGCATATCTGCTATATATAATCGTGGCATTTGTAAACAAAGATGGGTCTTCTCAATCTTTGTATCTTTTATTTTCCTTCCTTACTGCATTAACTAGAACATTTGTTTAGTTGAGTTGTAGAAGGGGTGAGAAGCAGCACCCTTGTCTTGTTCTTGACCTTAGAGGGAAAGCATTTAGTGTCTCACCATTAAGCATGATGTTTGTTGTAAGTGTCTAATATATGCTCTTTATCATGTTGAGGCAGTTCCCCCTCTTTCTGATTTGTTGAGAGCTTTTTTTTAAAGTCATGGATAAATTGGATTTTATTACATGCTTTTTTTGCATGTATTGATATTAACATCTGAGTTTTCTTTTATTTATTCAAAGAGATTAACTCTTTGTCTCAGATCCTAACTCCCATATGATATTTGTTTTCAATTTTTATCAAGTTAGTGATTTAATTTCTATTCTGTCTTTTGGCTTTTCTGTCATGGTCAAAGCTTTCCTACACTAGTATTATAAGAAGATAGAAATATTGCCTCTTTTCTAGTATTCTTATGGTTTTAATTTTTTTGTTTATATTTTTGTGCATAGTTTATTTGGGCTGATATATAGGGCAAGGAAAAGGATTTGGGAGAACACTCATAGCTAGCAGTTGTCTCAGTTGGATTCAATTTTTGATAGAGATAATAAAGTGTAGGGCAACCCAGACTAAAGAATTACATAAATGAAAGTAGTTCAACAAGGTTTAACAAGAAATCCAGTTTGACTTTAGTTAAAGGATACATACTTATGGGAAGGCAGTATTAGGTGTTGGAATGGGGAAGATGGTTGAGATCAGAAAGAACATGGAGAAAACTGAAGAAGAAACAAGCAGTTTGCCTTTTAGAGGATGACATGATGAGGATGGTGGGAACCCAGACTCATCTGAAGGCAGTATGGGAGATGATTTGTGAGTGGGTGAGTCTGAGAAAGGAGAAACAGAAGACCTTTTGTTTCTTTCTGAGTGAGTGTACAGAAGTGAGCATACCAAAGACAGCTGACTGGATATAAGTGGCAGAATAGGTTTAGATCCAGAATTTAATTAGAACCATACTTTGAGATGGAATGGGATTTAAGTTTTAAAAAGGCACTAAAAGAAAGGATATATGAGTTTTTGATCACATGATGTTTGTTATTAGAGGGCCAGTCAGGTGGAGTGAAATATTTGCATATAAAATGTGAGTTATATTCTTAAAAAAGCAGTTAGACAACAGAATTAATTTTGAGATAGTTGAAGCCTTGAGTAGATGAGATTCTCAAAAGAAAATTTTAAAAAAGGTCAGAATCTTGTGAGAGAAGAAAAAAATAGATGGGGAAGAAAACCCCCCTTCAAAGTAGGTGTAAAGCCAAGCAACAAGAATATTAATGTATCCTTTCCACTCTTTAAAAAAATAGGAAACGGACCCTCAGGAATATGCCTTTCATATATGTTATCAGGCTACCGACCATATTTATCATCAGAAGCAATACACCCAAATACAATCTTGCATAGTAAATTAGAAGAAGCAAGACATCTCTCCATTGTGGATCAGGTAAATTTATTACATGTCAATTTTTAAAATTTGTTTTATGCTGAAATAAAAAGTTTTTAATGAACATTATAAACATGATTTCTTAGAAATGCTTTCTTTTAAATAAAACTTACTGTCATTTTAAATTCATAAATATATTCTGCCAGGGAATATTGATTTATTTTCTTGAAGTTATCAGCACAGAATTTCCCATATTATTTTCTGGTGGAGTTTTAATTGGTGCTCTATGCTCAAATAAGTTTGGGAAGTGTGCCACTTTTTATTATTTGAGCATCACAACTGACATTTGCATACAAACATCATCTTTTGCCTTTGCAGTTCACAGAAGGATTGGTTACCTTATACCAGTGATGGCGAACCTTTTAGAGCTTTCAGTGGTCATAAACAGCCAGCTGTGGCATACGTGCCATAGGTTCTCCACCACTTTTTTTTTTTTGGTACCGAGGATTGAACTCGGTTCCTTGCGCTTGTGCACTCCACCACTTCTTCTGTTTATTTGACCAGAAAATCTGTTAAAGATCTCAAGGAACATCAATATTCTGTGACACCTTCTATGGAAAGTACTGAATTGGAGTCATGGTGTTTACTAATGTAACAGTTGTTCTCATGTTGTTTACTAATGTACCAGTTGTTTCGGCCTTTTTCAAACCTTGTTTTTTTCCCCATTTAGAACTTGGAATACCTGGCTGAGGGCCTTGAGGGCCGATCATGCAATCCAGTTGCAGTACTTTTTGATACACTTCTTCATCCAGATGCTGACTTTGGGTATGACTGTCCATCCATTTTGCATTGGAAATTAGAGCAACATCATTATATCCCTCACTTAGTTCTTGGTAAAGGTCCACCTGGTGGGGCTTGGCATGTGAGTATATTTTTCTTAGTATTTTAATTGTATGTGAATTATTTTACTTGTCTTGATAAAACCAACTTCATTTTAACATTCTTAAGTATGATAATACCATTATATGTGATCCATAGTACATTTTTATCTGAGAATTTTAATGCTGTACAGTTTAGTTAAGTGTAGGTCTATTGTCTATAGTAGCTAAGCCAAATTTTATTACAGGTATAGTCTTAGAATAGACATTTCCCTATAGTATTTGTTTTTTCTTTTTGCAGTATTGGGACTTGAACCTGGGACCTCATATGTGTTGTGCAAGCACTCTACCACTGAACTACATCTCCAGCCCTTTTTATTTTTTATTGTGAGAGCATCCTACTAGGAGTTTGCACCTCCTAAATAGCCAGGATTACAGGCATGTGCCACCACACCCAGGTTTTCTTCTTATAAAGCCATTAATTCCCTCATAAGGACCGACCCTGATGACTTTACCTGACCCTAATTATTTCCCAAGTCTCTATCTCCAAATGAAATCAAATTGAGAATTGAGACTTCAACATAAGAATTCAGGAGGCAGGGCAACACAATTTAGTCCACAGCAGAGGAGAGAACAAATAAAGATTCATCCAGTACTTCACTAGGTAGGAGGCCAGTAACTAATAAATACTCTTCATTCCTATGTCCTTAGCAGTTAACACTGTATCTATCATTGTCACTGTGTAGTGGGTGTTCATATGTTGTACAAATGTTAATTTAATTTGCAGTGTTATGAAATATATACTTCATGGGAACTTTAACATATTTGATGTCAAAATTTTAGTACAAACTTCAGTTGACTGTTTCTATATTAGTGCAAAAAGTGGCATCTGTTTCAAATGTATGATTTGATGAGTCATGACAAACATCTCTAACAGAGAAACCACCAATACAAGATAAGAAGCCTCAATTGGGCCCTAAACAGTACTTGACAACCTTCTCTGTTTCCTTAGTAAGTTCTTCTCAAACCTCTTTTTCTCTTTTGTGTTTAGAAATACTCTTAATTCTCATTTTGCAGAGAACATAGAATTGATCAAGATAGAACTTCCACAGTTTCACAGTCAAACCTAGGAACTTATCTGTATTCATGGTATTTAGTTTCTTGTTACAATGGAAGAGGCTCACCTTCCAGCTATATTCTGGATCCCAGTCTTCTTAAGGACATTGTTTATTTCTCTTCTTACATCTTCAGTTTCTCTGCCAGCTGTTACTGGTCAGTATGTAAATATGCTAAAATTATTTCTTCTTAAACTTTTTAAGGTGTCACTCTATCTGTATCCTTTCCTTTAGAGGCAGCTTCTTGAGATCACCTGTCCACATTGTCTCCATGCCTCTGCCTCCCACTCCTTAGCTTGCTCACTCTAGCCTGTCGCTGGTTTTCCATAGGAACTATTCTTTTTAAAGGTCAGTAAGTCCTATTTTTGATTAATTAGATGTGGAGTTTCAAAACTTCTGAGCTGTACAGCATTTGACATTGTTAATGGCTGTGTCAGGTTCTCTGATCCTTCAGCCACCTTGATTTTCTTCCTCTTTGGCCACTCCTTTTCAATTAACCTTTGTTTGCCTTTGCACTTTAAAACATTGCTTCTACAGCTGGGCCTGATGGTACCTGCCTGGGAGGCTGAGGCAGGAGGATTGCCAGTAGTTCAAGACAAGCCTGGGCTACAGTAGTGAATTCAAGGCTAGTCTGAACTACATACTCAGACCCTGTCTCAAAAAATAAATAAAAGTAAAACATTGCTCTACTGACACTATCCCAACCCAATGTCATCTTTTCATACTTTGGGTCATCTCATCTGTTGCAGTGACTTCGGTATGTATGCTGATTGATTCCCAAATAGAACTTTGTGATTCCTATCACTCTTTCTCATATATCTTAACTAGATGTATTCCCTTAATAATTGCAAAAGTATCCAGAAACTCAGCATGTCTAAAACTGATCTTGTCATCTAATTCTTTTATCATTAAATGGCACTCTTACATGGTTATTCAAGTCAAGAATTCTGAGAATCTTGGTTTCTCTGTCTTCAGCTCTCACTTTTCTGATCTTTTTTATTCTTTTTTTTTTGGAGATAGGGTTTCACTAAGATACTAAATTGCCAGCCTGGATTTGAACTTGTAATCCTCCTGCCTTAGCTTCCTAGAGGGGTTTCTTTCCTTTTATATTTGTTCTTTCTTTTCCTGTCCTGTTCTTTTTGTTGGCCTTTGGATCCAGTACTAAGTACATGCTCTTATCATAGAGCTGGACCTTCAGCCCATCCTTTTTTTTTATAAATATATTTTTAGTCCATCTACTCCTTTTACCCAATTTGTAAAATTTTTCCAAATGAGTCTCTCACTCACTTTTTCTTTCAGTCTCTCTACATACCAAAGCCATAATTGTCTAAGACACACATCTGAAATGTTGTATGCATGCATTAAACCGTTTGAATTAGTCCTCATTTGACTAATGTATAATATGCAAACTCCCTAATATTATTTCACTATACTTGGCATGATTTAACCCCTGCTTAGCTTTACCCTTTTCTCCCTTCCTCCCTCCCTCTCCTTCTCTCTCATACATTCTGTGCTCTAGCAGGCTTGTATTAAGGAGACCAAGTTCATTCTTAAGCTCAATGCTTGGCTGATATTCACAGGGCTCAGAAAAGATGGTATACTCGTTTACAATTTGTTAGAATAAATGGATACAGATTAGCAATAGGAAAAGCCTCCTGGGAAACAATCAAGGAGAAACCAAGTAGGGAAGTGCTTTAATCTCCCAGCCGTGGACAGTCTATGAGAATGCTGTGTAGAGTTGACAACCATGGAACAGGGAACCCCACTCATGCCTGGTGCACAGGGATTTGTGTGGGCCTGTAGTCATAGGTCAGTAGTGCCTATGCGGCTAACATCAGCCACTCAGACCTCTACCTCTCAAGCAAAAATTGGTATTCACCACAAATCATATTGTTAAGATAAATGTACATGGTTGCACTCGTGCAGCATGGCCAGGACCTCAGACATACAAAAATTACACTCATCAGGTAGAGTATCCCAAAGGCTTGGCTCTGAGATTATCTCCTATGAGCCAGTGAACAAGGCTTACTCCCAAAGACAAGCCTTTCTTAGTAAAGTGAACCATTAGAGTAACCCAGGCCTGCTGACTTTATCCTTTCTTACATGGAGCTCAGTATCTTAATGCCTTGTAGGACATGCAGTGTTCTTTCACATTATGAAGCTGTCATACTAATTTTTATTTTGGCCTGCAATAGTCTCCCTTTCTAGGCAAGTACTCTTCTAGGCAAATGCTCTTACACTGAGCCACATTCCCAATCCCAGTATTCTTCCTTTCTAATGGTATTCTCCTTAATGTCCATTATTATCCTTGAAGAAACAGATATTTGCATGTCCCTGTAGTACTTCTTTCTGGTTTGCTTCTCTTATTATACTACAGTCTCCATGACAGCAGACATGGCATATAGGTTGGCATAGGGGAAAAGGGGCCATTTGGGAGCAAAATGAAGAGTTCAAGGGACTAGGGCTCTCAACCACTTGGAAGAACTGATGCAGAGGTGATAAAGAGACTGATAGCAAAAAGTGGAGTTGTGCATGAAGGTTTTAGAGTTCTAGATAAGACTGTTATGGTTCAAAAAATGTCAGATATATAAAATTCTTAACAGTTCCTCTTAGTGATTGAGCTTCTAGATTCTGATCCAGTTTTCAGGGCTAGTCTGCCTCTAAGCATTGGCTCCTTGCTGGATTCTTTCCCTGGGATTATCTGTGTTCTGACACAAATAATATCTCTCTGAGCTTAATAAGAAGTAAGGACTAATATGCCCCATTTCCCGATCCTGGGCCATACAGAAATAGAGCAAGAAGAGTTTTGTGAAAAGAAGCTATTGTCTAGAAGAGTTGGTTAATACGTCATTGGGATAGGTACCTTCAGCCCTGGGCTTTTCTCCACCCCACCCCCCACCCCCCGCTTTTTTTTTTAGCAAAGCAGAAATAAGGAGATCAGGGGAGCTTGAAGGACTCACTTTGATCACATTAGCCCAACAGTGAATCTATTTCTCAGTCAACCACTGCTTATTTTTCTGTTCTTAGGAAGAAATGCTGCTATATCCAATCACCCAAGACTTGAGAATTATAATTGATGAAAAAAAAATCCATTTCTTTTAATTTTTGAAAATTTGTAAATAATATTAAAGTGGGAAATCATTCAGGGCTTTAGAAATGAACATTTTTCCTTTTGTTTATAAAGTGGAAATGTTAAATTTGTTCTTAACATATACATCTGAATTACCATGTTGATCACAGGCCAAAGCTATGAGCACTGTGTAGGCATTGAATAATAATATAAATTTGTTTATCATTGTGTAACTATATGAAAGAAATACACATGGGTAATACCAAATGATGGAAGGGTATAAAAGTTTATTGGAATAAAGTTTTAAAAGTAATTTGTACAACCAGTTAGACTGCTTTAAGCACACTTGATCCAGAGTCTTAATTATAAATAGGATGTATTTGACTTACAAAGAATTCATGTTACGCCTAGTTGCATTTTTTTAACTCTACTTTTTAATTCTGATAGAATATGGAAGGCTCCATGTTGACAATCAGCTTTGGAAATTGGATGGAGCTACCTGGACTGAAATTTAAAGATTGGGTGTCTAGCAAACGAAGGTAAAGATCAAACGTTATTAAAATTCTTTGGTGCATGATGAAACAGAGACTGTTGGAAATTTCACAATAATTGTGATCCTGACTTGAATGAAAAATATGAATGTACGTGTCTTTCAAATAAAAATGCTTCCTTGAAACTGATTATAATGAGATGGTTTTCATTTAAAGATGTTATAAAACTTAAGTGCAGAGGATTATTTACAGATTGGTTTCCTATGACTTTGTTAACTATGGCTTTATGTCTGTTCTGTTAAATTACTTTCTCTACTTTCTTGACTACCCACATATCATTTTTGACACTTTTATCTACTTATTTTTATGAATGGATATGTAACTTCACTTAGGCTTATCTCATGTATATATATCTACAGTGCTTGACTTTCAGGTTAAAGAGTGTGTTATTAGGGCCAGGGATTTAGCTCAGTGGTTCCACCGCCTGCCTCGCGAGCACAAGGTCCCGAGTTTGATCCCTGGTACCAAAAAAAAAAGAGTGTATTATTATATGGTTGATAACTTAGAATGATGACATAAACTAGAATCTCCAGTATGGTTAATTTATAGTTAATAGTTAACTTGGATATGAAGGTAAGTATTTTCATTAAAAATATGAAATAGGAGTAACAAAAGAAATATCATCTTGAGAAAAAATGAGTTTTATTTATTTGGGGAGAAAGAACCCAAAAATTTAAAAAGAGATTATAAAAATCCCTATCATTTCCAAGAATAGTAAATAGAAATTAGATAGGAATTACTAATGCAGAGAATCAACTCTAATTGACCATTAAAGGAAACAAGATAAAAGCAGGAAATTAATTGGTGGAGTTAATTAAGTAACCTTTTAAGGACAGGGATGTAACATTTGAGTATTTGACTTCCTGCTAAATAGAAGCCATGTTAATTCAAAGAGATTTTCTTTTACTTGGGATAGGAGAGCAAATGAGAGCATCATGAGTAGAGATTAAACCTTCAAAAAAAATTTTTCTTTTTGTACCGGAGATCGAACTCAGGACCTTGCCCTTGGGAGGCAGGCTCTGTGCCACTGAGCTAAATCCCTGGCCCCCAAAAAATCTTTTTAGGTTTTAAAAAAGGATTTATATATAGGTTTGAAACTTACAGTTTGTAAAGGAAAGTTGTACAAGTTCTTGATTTTTATAATTAAGCAAGTAAAATTGCTCAGCATGTTCTTCCCTCTGTAAAATGAATAAGAAATGGGAAAGCTTTGTGGTTTTTGCAACAGAAGTCATCTTCCTAAATTGTGCATATTGTGTCTTGAATAATATGTGAAAATGAATCGTGATAAATACTAGCTTTAGTTCCTGCCTTTGCATAGTGTTAAGAGCAGACTCTTGTCTCTTGGAGAGTGGTAGGTCCTGAGTCCTGCCTAACTTCCCATATTGTGACCATGGGCAAGTAAACTAGTTGTCAGTATCCTAGTCTACAAAATGGAGATCATAATAGTAACTACTACAGAGATTTTCTGTAAATACTGAGAATTAATATTTTATCTTCAAATTCTTAAGAAAAGCCTTAAAGAGAAAAATTTTTACAGACTTTAGTTACAAGTTATAACAAATTATGTCAAATGATTAGGTTTGATTTTGTGTGTGTGTGTGTGTACACTGGGGATTGAACTCAGGACCTTGGACTTAGGATGCAGGCACAGCGCCACTGAGCTAAATACCCAGCCCAATTAGGTTTGATTTTATTGCAACGTACTTCTAATTAAAAATGGGTTTTAGGGAGATTTCTGACTTTTGCTTTAAAATTCAAACAGAAAAAAATAAAATGAAAAATGTACTAATATACATTTAGAATATTCCAGTTAGATCTGTAATTTCTTAGTGATTATTATCTAAATATGAATGTGATTATTTTCTAAATAATTATAAGGTTAAAAAGTCTATAGTTTTTAGATATCTGCATTTAATCCCTTTATTCATTTAATAAAAATCATCAAGCACTTATTTGAGCATATAATGTGAATGACAAAATGTATTAAGTACAGTCTTTGCCCTCATAGGGACTCTCTCTGTTGCTAAAACTAAGTTATTGATATTTTCTTAAATAAAAAATATCAGACTTCCTTTGTAAAGTGTTAGAATGATATTTATGTAAGGTGCTCCAGAGGAATTTAAAAGTTATAAATGTTTATCAAATGGAGGATTAGTAATCATGGAACTGAAAGTACTATCTTTATAGTATACTTTTTCTTTTAATAGGAACCTAAAAGGGGATCGAGTTATGCCAGAGGAAATAGCTCGCTACTATAAACATTATGTAAAAGTCATGGGACTTCAGAAGAATTTCAGAGAAAATACTTACATAACCTCTGTATCAAGACTGTACAGAGATCAAGATGACAGTGATGGTCAAGACAGAGATATTTCAACAGAACATTTACAAATCGAGAAGTTAAAATTTGTCAAGAGAAACTGGGAAATCAGAGGTTATCAGCAAATAGCGGATGGTTCTCATGTTCCCTTTTGCCTCTTTGCTGAAAATGTAGCTCTAGCAACTGGAACATTGGATTCTCCGGCCCATCTGGAAATTGAAGGGGAAGATTTTCCTTTTGTGTTTCATTCAATGTCTGAATTTGGAGCTGCTATAAGCAAAGGAAAATTGCATGGCAAAGTGGATCCGGTGTTAATTGTAGGTTCTGGGCTTACTGCAGCTGATGCAGTACTATGTGCTTATAACAATAATATTCCTGTGATCCATGTATTTCGCAGGCGAGTAACTGATGCAAGCTTAATTTTCAAACAGCTTCCCAAAAAGCTCTATCCTGAATATCATAAAGTCTATCATATGATGTGTACTCAGTCATATTCTACAGACTCAAATGTTTCATCTGATTATACCAGTTTTCCTGAGCACCATGTGCTTTCCTTTAAGTCGGACATGAAATGTGTTCTTCAAAGTGTCTCTGGATTGAAGAAAATATTTAAACTGTCTGCAGCAGTAGTATTGATAGGTTCTCATCCTAATCTGTCTTTTCTGAAAGAACAAGGATGTTACCTCAGCCATAACTCAAGCCAGCCAATCACATGTAAGAATAATCCTGTGGAAATAGATGCATATACCTATGAATGTGTTAAAGAAGTCAACCCTTTTGTATTGGGTCCTCTGGTTGGAGACAATTTTGTTCAATTTTTAAAGGGAGGAGCATTAGGTGTTACATGCTGTTTAGCTATAAGACAGAAGAAATAGCCGCATTTATTTGTTGAAAGAGGAGGAGGAGATGGAATAGCTTAAAGGAAGTTCACAAGTAATTTAAATGGACAGTTTACTAAAGATTTTTAATAGTTGTTTTGCAGTGTACTGGCTTGAATTTTCTGGACTTCTATTAACTGGAGGAGGGCCTCAAGCTATAATAACTTCATTTTTTATGGTTATCAGAACTTAGTGTCCTGATTTATATTGTAATGTATCAAAAGTGTCACTGTCAAACAAATAGAAACACTGCCAACTTGGCCAACTTGGTATACTTAAAGCTTTCTCTTAACTAAAGCATTCTTTTTCTTCCAAGTCATTTTTTGTGATCATTTTTGGTTATTTTTTATTTTTTATTCTAAAATAGTGCAATGTGAAATCAATAAAAACCATAGTTATTATGTAAGGCAGAAATTGTTCTTACATACTAGGCCACCTTGCTTCTCAAAAAATGACCCTAAGGACTAGCAGCATCAGCTTCATCTGTAGTTTGTTAGAAGTGTAGGCACTCTGCGGGCCCCACAGAATAATCAGAAACTGCATTCTTAAAAGATCCCTCAGGGGTAGGTTTGTGTATTAAAGTTTCAGAGACATGCTGATCTAAATGATAATGGGTTATAAAGTATGCTGGGGTGGGATAAGGGTAGGCATTTTCAACTCAGGTTTTATTTATTTTGAAATTATCACTTGTATAAATCTAACTTATTACCAAATATGATGGTCTTTTAAAAATATTTTTATTGTTGAAACCTTGACAGGTGCTTCATATTCGTAACTTCCAATAATTTAAACATTCCAATAATGTTACATGCTGTGACATCCAAGAACCCACCAAGATATTTTTCAGAGGTTTATTCTCCCCTTAACCATCATAACATCTAATTAATCTGATTTGCAGTTCAATACATTGTGGATGAAACTACTAACCACTGTGTGAATATTGAGCTAATGTCACTGAAACTAAGATTTGGGCATGGAAAGTATTTCTAAAATTGTAACCCTATTTGGGTATTGTCAGAATTAAAGCTTAATGTGGAATGTCAAATTAAAATTTTCTTTTCTATTCTAGGGTGTTTATTACTTTGAGATCTCTAATAGTATTTGTTTATCGAAGATGGCAACAGCTCATACTGTGGTTTTTATTGGTTTTATTTGCTCTAATCTTCATTTATATTTATTGTGCTTAATATCTGTATTTCCACACAACTCTAGAAATATTAATGTTCGAAATGGTGGCACACACCTGTAGTTCAGCACTTGGGAGGCTGAGGCAGGAGGATCACTGAGAGTTTGAGGCTAGCCTTGGCTATGTGTTGAATTTGAGGCCAGCCTGAATTGCATAGCGAGACCCTGTCTCAAAAACAGTCTTCCGAGTTTGCCTTGGAAACAAATTTTCAGCCCCCTCATCTTAATCTTCTAGTTCTGTTCTTCTTAGAACTAAAAACTGGACAAACATGTCAGTATTTTTCTGTCCATTATCTTGCAATGCTATATGCTGGCTTACTAGGATCATAATTCACTTTAAATATAATTGTTTAGAATTATTTATTTCTATCAACTAATCACTTAGGTGAATTCTAGGAATCTCGGTAACTGTCAGGCCTGATTAATGTGATTTTATAAACCAATCCAGTTTTAGTTTCCTTTTATATAATTTTCAAACTGATCTCACATCTTAATTGAAATGGTATGACATTTTCTTACTGCACTTGACCCAGTACTCTTGCTTGCCTGTTTTTGAACTCTGAATCAGTTGGATTGGATACTTAGTATGTCACTTCTAAATTGAAAATGACATCATTATAAAGATGGTTTCTAGAGAAGGATAAGACCTATTGACGTCTCTGTATATCTCAAAAGTCTGCTTTAACAACCAATAACATTTTTATGAGTATTCGTTTTTAAAAACTACTTTAGGGAATCAGTAAAGTCCTAAATAAGCCTGGTAGATAACTTCCTCTTTGATAATCTCAAATTTTCCAAGTCTTCATCAGTCCTAGCTATCTTGTGTAGCATGTAACATGCAAGGCATTTCTCTGATGTACAGTACTATATTCCTGTATGCGTTAGTCTTATTTTCTACCCTATAATTCCAGATTTCTCATACTTTTAAGAATCGACTAGCTATTTAAAAGACAGGAAAATTACTAAATACTTGACTATTCATAGGGTAAGCAAACATCTTCCTATTCCTCCTAGCTTGGCATATGCAAATCATACTTAATATTTGTTAAAAGCATATTTATAAAGCACAATCTATTGGGGATTTTTTTAAAAAATACAATAAAATCTGATTTACAGTACTTTGTGTTTTTTGCAGCCTAAGTATTGACCCTCACCCAACTTTATTTTCAAAATCAAAGAAACTTTATGTAATATGTTTCCATAGCATCAAATTTTAGTAACAGATTTTTTTAAAACCTTGAAAGGTATTTTAAAATATTATGTAGTTGGGCTGGGGATTTAACTCAGTGGTTCCGCTGCCTGTCTCACAAGCAGAAGGACCCGAGTTCGATCCCCGGTACCAAAACAAACAAAAAATATTATGTAGTCAATTGGAAGTGGTGCAAAATTCTAAATAAATCCTGCAATTAAATAAAAAGCAAGTCCTATTTCATTTGCATTTCTGGAGCACTGAGGAGCTCAGAATTAAATAAAGTTAGACTGAATTTATGTGTCATTTAAAAATTTAACTTGGTTACAGGATGCCTTGTTTTGTAAAGCCATTTTGATCATATCAGATCATGATTCTTTTTTAACTCCTTTGAATATACTTCTAGAAGGGAAAAGGGCCAAGGTACCCAGGGTTAGTTTGAAGAGAGATGTGGAAAAAGGATTAAACAGTTGTTCTGATTTTGAATTACCCTTCATGCAGGTTATTCAGGGATCTCTGTAATCATCCTGCCCCTCTCTGCTTCAGAGCACCATGCAAACTAATGGAAGAGTCTGGGTAGGAGAAGACCTCACAGTTAAAGATTCTGGCTGGAATTTGTAAGGCAGGGTATTACAGAGGAGGAAGTTGCACAGAAACCCCTCCAGAAGTTAGCATAAGGATTTCCTTAAGTCTGGCTCAATGACAAATAGTTCAGGGTGACAAATCCAGAGGCTGGCAGAGATCAGCAAGTATAAAATAGGGACCAAATAAGAGAGGTATACAGTTCTGGAAGACATTGGAGTTTTGGCCACCCAATGGAGCAAGACTCTCCAATAAATCAACTACCTGCCCACACAAAATGATGCTTTTTTTTTTTTTTTTTTTTGGTACCAAGGAATCTTAATCAGAACCTTGCACTTGTGAGGCAGGCAGCAGAACCACTCAGCTAAATCCCTGGCCCTGCTTTTTAAAGAAGGACAATATCTAGACCCAACAAAAACAGCCACAATGTTCAGCAATAATAAAATTAATAGATGTGCAGACAGTAGGGCAACCAGGAGAAAGAAAAAGCAAAGCAGAACTGGAAATCATAAATGTTGGAATGACCAATTACTTTTTTTGGTACCGGGGATCAAACTCAGGACCTTGTGCTTGTGAGGCAGGTGGTGGAACCCCTGAGATAAATCCCCAGCACCAATTACTTTTAAACAGTTAATATACATTCCAAAAAGTTGACAATTGGCGAATGAGTGAAATCTGAAAAGAAAAATTTTAAAACATTCTATAGCTGAAAATATATTCTTAAATGAAAACTTCATTGAATAATTTTAACAGCATAAAGAACACTGAAGCTGGGCATGATGGTACATATCTATAATCCTAGCACTCAGCAGGCTGATGTAGAAGGATCACCACAAGTTTGAGGGCAGCCCAGACTACATAGTGAGTTCAAGGCCACCCTGGACTACACAGTGAGACCCTGTCTCATATAAATAACTGAACAAATCGACACTGATGAAAACAATGGAGGATAGTGGAAGAGAACTGTCTTAGTCACTTTCTTTGTCACTAAGACAAAACACCGACACAACATTTATTTTGGCTCCTAGTTTCCGAAGTTCCAGTCCATGTTCAGTAGGCTCAAATGGAAAAAGATGACATGGTGAAAGGGCCTGAGAAAAAGCTGCTCATGTCGGGAAGCAGTGCTCAAAGGGAGGAGCCAGGGACAGAGATGTACCCTTGCAGGTCACACTCCCAATGACCCACCTCTTCAAACCAGGCTCTACCTCCCAAGAGAATACTCACCTATAATCTAGTCCCCAAAATCCAATCGTTTTCTTAAAGGCCAAACTGAACCCAAGGCCTTTGGGAGATATTTCTACATATAAACCACAAGATTCCACCCCTGGCCCCCAAAACGACACACACATCTCTATGTGAAATCCATTTAGTCCATCTCTAAGATTTGACAAATTTTTAACAGTTCCAGCATTACTGCAAAGTCCAAAGTCTCCTCTAAGACTCAAGACAAACTCATCTGTAAGCTACTGTAAAAATAAAAAAGTTAAATACTGCTGACATATAATGGTACAGGATAACATTCCCATTCCAAAAGGGAGAAATAGGGTAGAAAGGAATGGAACCAAAATAAGACCAAAACCTAGAAGGGCAAGCATTAAATCCTGTAGGTCTGTATTCAGCACATGGGGCAAACTTTCAGTGAGATATGAGCTTCAAACAGCTTGGGCAGCCCCACTTCTAGGCCATGGTGAGTTGCAGCTGTCACGGCCTCACTCTTGGGTTGGCTCTGCTCACTGCCTATGACTTTTTTCATGAATGTTCCACCTTCCTTCATCCTCCAAATTCCTGGGGTCTCCGCTGCACTTTCAGCTTTACCCTCAGAGCGTCATGGACTGCTGTTTTAGGGGCACACTGCCTGGCCTTCCAGGCCTTCTTCTCAACTCTGGGTGGAGGCCTCCCCGATTCACAACTCTTGCATTCTGCACTTCTGTAAAACTAGCACCACATGGATAACACCAAGATTTGCTGCCAGCTGCAGTACCCAGGTCCCCTTGGATCATGGCTGTAGGGCCTCCAAGTATCTGGATGGCTGAGCACTATGAACTGAATTCTGGGGAACCAATTCTTTAGGTGGCCCTTCTGGAGCAGGGTGTCCTGGGGCTCTCTTCTCAAAGAAAAGTTTTCTTTAAAAGTTTACTTTTACCCTTTTATACCCAAGCCAGTGAAGGGTGGAGTGGTGCTGATTCCTGAGATACCCTCAAGGTATTTTATTGTTTTTATTGAAAGTACTTGGCTTCATTTTTTAATCTTTTCAGCAATTTTGCTCTCCAAGGCACCAATTTTGCAGCCATTTCCTTTTTGGTCAAACTCAAAACTTTTAAATCATTCATCTGTGTTGTCTGTTCTTCATTCTCAATGTAGACCTGGCTGAAAGCCAACAACAGTACCCATGCCATAGCCTATTGTCTTGAAATTCCCTCAATTAGATTAATTTAGTCTGTCTCCCTTAATCTCAGTCTCCCACAAAGTCTCAGGACATGAGCAAAAGGAAGACAAATTTTCTGGCAGTGTAACACAGTTTCAAGTCTAATTGCCAATGGAGTTCATGTTCCCAACTGAAACCTGAGCCTGAGCCCTGTCTTTACTCTCTGCATTTCTGCCAATATTCTGGTCTTCTGAGCTCTAACCAGAATCTCCTGTCAAGCTTGGCTCACAGCACCGTGTGCCTTCTATAGCCAGCATCTCCACACATTTCTAAACTACTCCCACAAACCAGTTCCAAAAGCTTCTGAGCCACATGGTCTGGAAGAGTCAAAGTAATGGCCCCAATTCCAATACCTTCCAAGACCAAATCAGTACTAGGGCTCTCTAGCAGAACAGATTCTGTATAAAATATACATATGGGTGCTTGCTTCGGCAGCACATCTACTAAAATGTACGTATGATTATACAAGGGGATTTAGGTAAGATTATAAGATCAGAATCAGAAGAGTCCTTATGACTACTAGATCAGAACCAGGAGAGACTAAAATGACCACCTGTGCACTGGAAAGCTGGAGGATCTAGTAGCAGCCAAAGTGTGAAGGCCAGGAAGCTCACTGTAGAGTCATTGGTATGAGTTTGTGTTAGAAAATCTAAGATTATGCTTTGGAAGGCTAGAGAGTCTGCTGTGGAACTCTGAAGGAACAGGAGACCAACTTCCAAAGGCAATGGGGAAGACCAGAGCTCTTTTGAAGAAAAGGGAAATACTTCTTTCCTTTTTCATTCTGTCCAAGTGACAAGCCTATTTTGGTTGCTGCCATCTACATTCAGGGTGGGTCTTCCCCTGCTCAGTCTTCATGCCTACATCTCAGTCATCTACAAACAAACCCAGAATTTACAAATATGCTAGGCAGTTCTTACTCAAATTGGCTGCAGTATTTTTAACGACAAAGACAGTTCAGATATTAGCACATCGAGGTAACCAATTATAGCAACATCTAGGCCACCCTAGCAATAGCAACAAAATCAGAAACAATAATAGCATCAAAGACAGATGATATTAAGTACCAATAATGTACCATCCTTAATTGTAGAAAAGAGATCTATAGTTACAGTATAAGCAAATATTGACATACAGTAAAGATCTACTATATTTAACAACTATACCTCCACTAAAAATAGAAAATAATTCCACCATAATAGCATAGTTAACTAACGATTAATAAAGTTTAATAGATATATAGATAGAGGTGGGAAATGGGACCATGAATAAAGTAAAATTGAAAAATTAAGCAATGGAAGACAAGGAGAAAAGTGAGATACAGGATCATAATAAGGAGATTAAATATTAGATAAAAGTAATAGAAAAGAACAAACAAGAAAAAGAAAAATAAGAAAAAGAAAAAATTAAAAGGAATGAAGGACCCTAGTTAGCAAGACAAACTCCATATTGCTGCTTGACCTACCTGCCTGTCCTTTAGATGAACTCAGAAGGAAGAAGCTTAGAAACCTCCTCCCCTTAAAAGGTCCCTTTAGAAATAACAGCTAATCAACTATTGCTTTACAAATGTTCTAAGGGCAGGACGTTCCGCTTCTGTACCTTTTGCTTGCTTTGCTAGTTCTATCCCATAGAGGGGCCTAGAAACTGTTGGCCTCAAAGGTGTATAAAACATGTTTGTCTCCCCCCAGTTGGGGCTCGAGTCCGATGCTTGGCTCGGGTCCCAGCCGGTAATAAACTGTGTGGATTTAATATTGGTCTCTGGTTGGTTCTCTCTCGCTGGGTGTAACAGGTAAATAAAGAAAAAAGGAGGAAAAAAACCCACCTTCCCTCAAAAAAAACAATAAAGGAAAGAAAAAGTGAGTCAAAAACAATTCCTCTGCATTTTTGAATGAATGATTGCATTCCAGGATCTGTAGTTTTGGTATTCAGCAAATTAATGTTTTCTTCTACCTAGCTTAATGGCTGTGGGTTTGTGAGTTGGCCCTCTGCTCTAGAGGCTCCTCTGTCCATACACCCTAGGCTGCAACAATAAACCAAGCTGAGGCATGTCCTTCCTCATACTGATAGATGGAGAAAGCAGATTACTTTGTGTGGAATGAAGCAATAGGGTGAGGGTTCAAGCAGACCGGTGAACTTAATGCCAGCACTTTAAGATTCAGTTCCCCTGGAAAGTCACACATGCTTGACCTGGATTCTCATCATGAAGGGAGGAGGCCACCCTCTTCTCAGCCCAAATTTAAACTTCTCATGGGGTCTACATCTAGACTGCATCCTCTTCATGACTGTCTCTTACATAGTCACTGTGGCAGGGTAACACTGGAAACCCTGAAGTGAAGTTGTTCTGTGGCTCTCTTAACCTATTCCCCAAATGGCTCCTGATTAAACCCTCTCAAATATGGCAGGCACTGTACTGGAATTCTTTTCCAACTTTAGCCTGCTGTGTATAAGGAGTCATTTTTGGAATAAAAGCCCACACTTTTTTACACTAGCCATAGACTTTTCTTGGTATAGTACTGCTGGCTCTGTTGGTTATTTTTCCCTGGAGCTGCCAATTCTCTGGGCTTACCTTCTCTCTCCACATGTTGGCTTCATCTATGATCAGATTGGCTGGCACCTCTGCTCCCCTGTGCCAAGGGGAAACAAAACACAAAGTAGGCTTAGTTGGCAGGTAGCTGCAAGCAGGGCATAGAATCCATGCATGCGGAGTTGGCTGGGACCATGTATCTGATAAATTTCAGGGTCTCTGGATCTGTCTCACCTATAGCTTGGATTTTCTCTGGATGTGGGTGGCTCACTCCCTTCCTGCCCACATGTCTAATAGCTCTCCTCAAAATAAAATTTTAAAAAGGGCTGGCGGTGTAGTTCAGTGCTAGAATGTTTGCTAGCATGTGTGGGGCCAAGTTCAATCCCCAGTAATGAAACAAACAAATGAAAACACAATATATTGGATGCTATATAAAACTTGAGAGGGAATTTTTACAACAGTCAGTTCCCACAGTAGAGACCTTTATTCATCAATCTATGCATTCCTTCAGTGTTGTGGAGGACAATGCTTTGTGTGTGTACATACACACACACACACACACACACACACACACACAGGACCCTTGGCCTACAAACTCAATCAGTTCCCAAGGGCTAGCTGTAACTCAAGATGGTTGCAAGTCAATATAGCTGAGAGCTGGATGTTTACCTGGGTACACACTATAGATAACAAGAGGCAAATGAATCTTCCATTAACCCAAGTTGTTTGTATACGTGCTGCTGAAGCTAGCACTAACCCAAGTTGTTTGTATGTTAGGTTGGTCCTAACTTGAGGGTCCACTCTATATAATAATGTTGCTTAAAGAATTTCAAACTATAATAGTGTGAATAAAACAAGGAAACAAAAGCCTATGCCATTTGCTGACTATCTCCACAGAAATAGTGTGTTTTGAGGTTAGGTAAAGGTTCAAAGTATCTTAGCCAGATACTTAAATGTAGTGAACTTTTTTGATTACGTATGGAACACTGAATCTTCCGTGAAGATCTAGCAACTGTATAATTAACTTATGCTATGCTTTTTCATGTCATGGTCTAACCACCTAAAAAAAATATGGTTATAAAAATAGTAACCACCTAAAAAAGGTGGCAGAATTTATATGGACCAAGATGCTTTTAGTCTTTATAAAAGACTTACTGTACTTTCACAGATGTATCATCAGCCTGTAGAGTTGATAATACAACTTCAGCGTAATTCTAACATACAGCTAGAGTTATATTAATAAATCTGAAAAATGACTAATTTTCTGTTACTCATCTCTGATGAGATCCAATTACAAGTTTAATGAAGTGTTCCATACTGTTTTCACTTTCTAACATTAGAATACCTGACATGTTCATAACTGAACACTTGGAACACATCAGTTTAGACAGACTATAACACAATAGAAAAAAATGTTAATATGCCTATGAACTTCCTATCACATGAAAAAGAAGGTGCAGAACACTGCATATGTTATGCTATCATTTGTATTAGGAGTTACTGAAAAATGGTATGTATAAGAATTGGAATAGGAATTAAAAATCTGGAAAGACTAACAAGAAATAAGTGTACATTTTTTTCTGAGGGGAATAAAACAGGAGAGTGGTAAAGGGGAGACTTAATTAAAAATGAAAAAAGCCTAATCATGAGAGATGATGTGACAAAGACAAACCAGGGCAAAGGTATTCATTACCACACACAAAAGAAATAAAGAGTATTATACACTTTATTTAACAAATTTGGGCCACAAAAGCTTAAATCTCTTCCATACACTGTATTCATGTATCTTGGCCTGAAGTAAATGCTTGCTGGGAAGCTTGTTTTCATAATTTCCTTTTTTTTTTTTTGGTACCAGGGATCGAACTTGGGACCTTGCGCTTGTGAGGCAGG